GGTATGTTAGCATTACCACTGTTTGTAATCTCTACTGAAATCCACATTATGGAAAAGGCAGTAGATTCTCACCTTTGAGTTATAGTAGAAGCTTGGGGACTCAAAATAATTTTGGGTAAAAAGCATCAACTCTCTCTTCTTTATCCAGAACACTTGTGTTTATAGGTTAGTCAGCTGATTTTTAGCACAATGAGAAGCACTTTTAAGTCTTAGAACACAACCAAATGAAATTTAAAATCTTGAGCTTGTGACTATGATAACAATAGACAGGGTTTGCCAGGCTAGATTAATAGCTTATCCAAACTCCACTGATTAATGGTAGAACTCTAAATTTTTGAAATCTTAATATAACAATAGCATATACAGGGAAAGAAAGATTAAATATTTAAATCACTTTCTTATACCTTTACAATGACATTTACACCCCTTAAGACATATTCTTAGACCTTTATAACCACAATTTACATGTCTACAAACACTTCTTTTAGATCCTTACAATTTATTTAAGCTTTTATAATATGCTCAGAATTTACATAAACTTTACACTCTTTTTATATCCAATCATTTACCATGAGACACAGGTGGTTGATTCCTGTGAGCAGTCATTGTAAAGTGAGTTGCTTTTAAATAACAGAACATAAGAAAGTCACATTGAAATCTGTTGTGTGATGTTATCTCTTTTTAGAATCTGGTGTCAGGATAGACCAGATCTACACACAGTAGTAGTGCTAGGAAAACGAGGCCTGAGACCTGATTTTTACGTGTGAAGAGAACTAAAAAGACAACTGAAGCTTTGGTTGCTGCTGTTAAACTGACAAAGCTATCATTAGCCTAGTTGTTAATGCCATCAGAGATCCTAGAAGGATACATTCTCCTCACCCAGGTAAGGAGGAAGTACATACCAAGCAATTCTAAGATATATATAAAAAGGCAGAGACTTACCAGCTACCTGGAAAATTACCCTTGCTTCCTCCATAATAGTATTGATTCTATGAGGGTGCAGGGCCAGATGTCCCAGGTCTCCCTTCTTTGGCTTCCAGGCCTAAAAGATCTAAAAGACTCTCCTATGGAGTTGAAACTTGAGAGACCAGCCTACTTTGTCTACTCAAAGTGGGGTAATTGACTCCTGACTTTCCACACTTTGGACAGGGTCCTGGTAGCAGGTGAGACAAGGGCAGTTTTTCACTCAGTAGCTAGCTATTTCACATTTAAAACAAGCTCCACACAGATTCTTTGCCCCATCATCTTCTTTGTAGACCTTGAGGTTACTGCTAGTATCAGGGAGTCTTTGTGTGTCATAGTAATCTCTTTCCATTAAACATTTAAATGCCATATTCAGAAGACCTCTGCCGTTTGAAGACCATTATCTTTAAGCATATCTAAACTAAACAAATGATAGTCTCACTATTTGTTTTATGCTTAACTTTGAAAAGATTAGGACTTTACATTTTTATTTCTATTAAGTTTATCCTTAAAAATAACAATTTTTTTAACTGAAGGTCTTTTAGTATAAAAATAAAACTTGTAATCATAGATAAAATCTATAGGATGACTGGCAACTTTACTGATCCTTTTATGGTCCACTACTATAGAACATTGCTGTCTTTTGTATAATTTAGCTTATCTAAATAGCTAAAGCTTAAAGTGAGCAAAGACTAAGAAGCTAGACAAATATTACTGTGAACCTGAGTAGACCTTAGGAATTTATAAATCTTAATTATCAAATATCCCTTATTTAATAAACTTATGTTGTCACCTAAATGTTCTTAGAAGCCTGGTGTTGAACACTTTGCAAAGAAATAATTAGGTATAAAACTCTAAGTCATATTTTGTTAATTGGAATAGAATTTTATAACTTTAAAATTTTATTGCCATGTAGAGCATATTGTAAACCAGAGTTAAAACACATATATAATATGTTATAGCAAATATAACCTTAAATTTTCTCACCATAGAAAGATCTATACCAATCCAAAGTGTTTTGGAGTCTTGATGTTTCCTTATCCTAGAAAGAGATACAATGACAAAGAGCTCATTAGGACTAAGAAGTTTTACAATTGTTCTAAGTCACATGATAGGTACTCTTTAAACTTAGTAAAGATGGCTCCCATCCATGTAGTTGGTTCCATCTTGATGAGGACATTGGCTAAGATGGAGGAGAGCCAAATGGTTGCTACTTAAAAAACATCTGTTTTTCTAGTACATTTATGTTTTTAAATGAAAATTGAATCTATGTATACAGAATTGAATCTGTATACATACCTATACAGAGCTGATTCCAACTTACAAACACACATACATACACACTTAGATCCAAGTTACATACACAAATATACATACACCTATAGAGTTGAATCTACCTTTCTCTCTCTCTCTCTCTCTCTCTCTCTTACACACACACACACACACACACACACTCACAGAGTTGAATCCAAGTTACATATACATATAGACATACACATAAAAATCCTAAACAAGAATTATATTATAAATATGTTGCTGAAAATTAACATTACCTATGTATAGACCTATGTATAGAATTTTAATTATAAGCCTTTGGTTATAAGTTTAAAGACAAACTTTGTTACAGATTATATAGATTTTTAATCTGCAACATGATAAATAAAAGACTCAGAAATAGATACTGGGGTTCAAACTACAAGATGAAGATAAGAAAAGCAAAGTAGCCAGCCACTAGCTCTTACTCTACTTCAGATGGAAAGGCTATCCTGGCTCCACCCAACCTCAGACCGATGCCTCCCCTCATCTTGGCAGGAGAATCCTGAGACTTAATGCCTTCCTATCTTCAATGTGCCCAGAGAATGAATAGCTCTGAAACCCTGTTCCTTTCTTATGATCTTGTCCTTTCATGAGTCCTGGGATTCAAGGCATGTGATCCCAAGTGCTGAGGTCATCTTTGTGTGAGCTGTTTCTCTTTAGGACTGGATCAATATCACGTAGCTCAGTGTATCCTTCAATGAACAGAGATCCATCTAACTCTTAATCCTAAATTCTGGGATTAAAGGTGTGTACCTGGCTTCCATGGCTTGTGGCTGACTTTCCTTTCTGAATACTTGGGCAAGCTTTAATAAATCATACCTAATGGATTTACAAATCTTGAGACAGAGTCTCCGTCATAGTCTTTTAAGAGAAATTTTGAGAGCAGAGAAATCATAAAGATAAGAGATTCCTAAAACTGGGAAGTTGAACCCTAGAGATCAGTGACAATGGGATCATTTCTTTGGGTGGTGACAGAAATTGTTAAAATCTGTGACAATTTGGAAATCAAGTGTGCCAATTTTTTTGGTCATTGATTTGAAGTGAACCTGAGCTGTAGTAATAAAACATTAGTCCATGCAGGAAAATAGAAAAAAGAGTTGCAAAACAGAGCACTGCACATGGGGGAGAGGTTGTTCCTGTAATCTCCAAGAGGGTTTAGGCTTAGGGTTAGAGCTGAAGTTGCTAGAGTCTGGAGTGAAAGGTGACCAGGAGAGTGCAAGGGAAAAGGGATCCAGTAGTACAGAGACCCTGATGGCTGTAGCAGGTCACAGTCAAGAGAATGCTGGCCACAGTGTGGTCACCAAGGACATAGCAGGCTCTGGGAACCAGAGAGACACTTATGGCATAGACAAGGAGAGGAGAGGTAAAGGAGTAAGGAGGAATAGGCAGGAATTCCACCCAACTGGGGATTCCAATATCATAGAAACTTAGAGGATGTAGATAACCTACAGGATTTGGCAGGCACCTGCTTGGTGCAGGCAAGGAAACTCAAAAAGTATTCGTCCACAAGGACACAAGGAGAGACAGCATGTAACTCCCAGGGTAAGGAAGAAAGGAAAAGAGTCCCAGGCTGCAGCAGGTAGGACTGCAGCTCCTGGGGGAGGTGAGAGAGCTGAGAAAGCTGGAGAAAAGAGAGATGCCCATACAGGCACATGGGTATAGTAGGTGTAGCATAGAGCAGGTCAGAGGTGTGATAGACTACGTGGCCCAGACAGACAAGAGCGGTGGTCAGAAAGCAGATAGAGGGACGCAGCAGCTGAAGTATTGAACTCTAGAATTTGAAATCAAATTTTGTGGGTGGCAGAAGCCAGCAGAAACAGATGATCCTTACATACCTTATGAGAGGTCACTACTGGAAATACCAGGGAGAATCACTAGCCAGTGAGGGGCGTGCTTGGTGTATGCAATCTGCAGTTGATCTCCTTTGCAAAAGCAAATAAATTTGGGGCCCTTCTGGTTGGGATCCTATTTAGTACACCGGGGAGGGGCATGAAAACACATTCCAAAAAGTCCATGTTATGTAGAAATAGAGGTTATAAGACCCTTGTCTTGTTTACTTGGAGTTTTCTTAGAAGCTTTCAGAAATTTCACACAGATTCATTCATGGACCCTGTCCTGACACAAATGAAAATAAACAATAATATTTAATATCTAGCACCACTATACTTGCCATCCATTAGTTACTTAAAGTTTTTCAGGGAAAACTAACTCTATCATTAAAAATATTTATTTAAGTTTGCAGAAGAAATGTTGTCCCACCCAAGTTAAAGGGGTAAAGACTTCTTTCACATCTATTTCATCAGGAAAATGAGAATCACAAAATGGGAAAGGGAGGTTAAGTCCAACTCTACTGGGAGAAAAGGCAGGAGGTGTCTAGATTATCTATTGGAAAGTACTGATGGGCCTCAGAGAGCAAGTGGATGAATGGAGTGAGGCCGTTTGGTGTTTGCTGAGTGGGGTTGATTGGAATTAAACTCTTGATCTCCCATAGAGACTCATAGATCAAAAGAGTACACAACAGCATCACTCCATCCTGTTTTCAATGTTTAACCATTTTATTTCATTTCATTTCATTTCATTTCATTTTATTTCATTTCATTTCATTTCATTTATTTTCATATACAGTTTTAGTCACTCGTCTATTTCTGTGAAGACACTATGATGGCAGAAACTCATAAAATAAAGCATTTAATTGGGGGCTTGCTTACAGGTCCAGAGGTTCAGTCTATTATCATCATGGTGGGAAACATGGAGGTACACAGGCAGACATGGTGCTAGAGAAATTGCCGAGAGTTCTACATCCTGACATGGTGAGATTAGGTTATTTAACTGCAGTTAGGAAATATTTCCATTTATGAAAGTGACAATAGAGGTTCTCCTCTTGATTCCATGACCTCAGCAGCCTTAGCAGTTGACTAAGTTTCCATGAGTAGGGAAAGATTCCCTCCTATTGAGCATAATACCAAACACCCAATGTCTTGGTCAGCATTCTATTGCTGTGAAGAGAGACCATAACCATGGCAACTTTTATAAAGCAAAGTACTTAATTGAAGCTTCCTTACAGTTTCAGAAGTTTAGTCCATTCTTAGCATAGTGGGGAGCATAGCAGCATGCAGGCAGACATGGTGCTAGAGAAAAAGCAGAGAATTCTAAATTCAGATCTGCAGGCAGCAGAGAAGGAGAACCACTGGGCCTGGCTTACTTTTTAAATCTCAAAGCCCACCCTCAGTGGCCTACTTCCTCCAACAAGGACACACCTCCTAATCCTTTGAAAATTTGCTACTCCCTAAGCGTTTAAATATACTAACCTATGGGGGGGCATTAATATTTAGATAACTACACCCTTCATTAATGATGCTTCTTTTTGCGGTAGACAGAGCCCATCACAGAAATCAACAACTGGCCAAAATTCAGAGAACAACTGACCTGGTAGTGCACGTTAATATCATAACCCCTCTAATAAAGGCTTTGGGAATATCTCAGAAGTTTTGTAAGTACCAGAGGGTCTGGCCAGTTGCAGTGAGTTAGTGTCTTCTATATATGACAGTGTGGCAATCATGAAATCTTAAAAATACATTTGTTGTGTCATTAAAACAGTCTCCTTTGGTGATCTTTGATGATTGCTTCTGAAGGGAATGACTCCTACGTTCCTGAGACACACATTTCTGGATTACAAAACTGGCAGAAACCTGGGAGAATAATTGCATCTGAAAGGATCAGAGAACAAAATTGATAATTGAAAGTTTTAAATTAATTAAATCATTTAAATAAATAATTGATTATTTAAATAAATATTAAATAATTATGTAAATAATTTAAATAATTGTATTAATTAATTAAATAAGATAATAAAATAATTAATTAATTTAATTAAAAGAAAAGAAATCTGGGGTTTTTAGTTAGGATGAAACTCATCTGAAGTTTGTCAAGTTGAGCAGAAAGTGAAGGACATCTTGAATAATGTTAAACATGGAAAACTCATTGCATCTTCAGTAAAAACAAAAGGAAAACATCTTGTAATTGGAATACAAATATTAGAGAATCAAATTCTAGATTTTTAACCTTAATTTTTATATGAGTTGATGTGTAGTTGTAATAGATACAATGTGATATGTTCAATTGCATTATGTATGTAGACTGGAATAAATCCAGGCAGGTGTAATAGATAGGTGTTGCAATTCTTCTATGGGACTGAACAAATGTAGCTGAATAGTTTCTAGGGAGTCTCCTCCATGGATGTACAATTTTACCATCTTGACAATTTTGCTAAAAAATGATGACCTGAATCTAACTACCTTAATAAAGCGATTGCACCAATCAAATCTACACTGAAGGACATTTTCTAAAATAATTGACTTTTCTCTCAGAAGTTATCCATATTATTCAAGAAACTTCCATATATTGAAGAAATATTAAGATGGAAGGCACCAAAAGAGACATGACAGAAAAAGGAAAATATGGTCAAAAGTTCTCATTTACTGAGACACTACACCTGTTGTGGCAACCTGAAAAATCTGACACCATATAAATGCAAATTAGATAATAATATTTGATGAGACAATATTTTGATTTAGGTAAATAATGTAATGAAAATTATAAGAATAATCTGATTACTTAAAAAATATACAGACTAACTATTCAGAGGTAATGGAGGTTTGTATCTGCAAAATAGTACCAGAAGTCCAGGTTTAAAAAGAAAAGTGTGGGTTGTGTTTGTGTGTGTGTGTGTGTGTGTGTGTGTGTGTGTATGTGTGTGTGTGTGTATAGAGATGTGGAAAATAAATACTGAACAATGTTTACTAACTTGATGTTGTTTGTGCAGGTCTTTGACAGGTAACCACCACTGCTGTCAGTTCCTGGATGCAATGGACTTGTCATGTTCCAAAGACTTTATTTGGGAGCTGCCTTCCACATGTTCTGTATCATCCAGTCTTCCTGCCCTCTGCCATGATATCTTCTGAGCCTTGAAGAGAAGGCCTATGATGCAAATGTCTCAATTCAAGCTGATTTTGGAATGAGAGATTATATTGAACTATCTTGATATGTGCAGGTTCATCATATCATAATCATCTTTATAAATATAGGAATGAAGCCAAATGTCATAGTTAGAGTGAGATTTGAGAGTACTGGATCCCTGACTCCAATATAGAGGAGTGAGCTGTGACCCTAGGAACATAGATGGTTTCTAAAGGATTCTAAAGGCAAGTAAGTAAGGAAAACAGATCTATTGACATTTACATTGTTGTTGACTAAATCCACAACTTGGTGCTTATTTGTTGTAATTGTATTAGCAAACTAATTTGGATTTTTGAAAGCTTTCTATTAGATTAAAATTATTGTAAAATGAGCTTTGAAAATAAGTCTCTGGAGAATATTACTGAAAATGAGAGTCATCTTTTAAGTTCTGTTTTCTGAAATCTCAGAGGCAGAGTTTTTAGTTACAACTATGAAATGGCCATAAAAAATGGGGAAAAACATGAAAAATCCAGAAGCTACTGAATAAATATCTGTGCTAAATGTGGCACTATTTTTCACACTTTAACAAATCCAGCATGTCAACATTAATGAGCAATAGGTGTAAGCATTCTAGTGATCATATCATAGGCATTTATAACTATTTCAATTTTACATTTTATACTCTCTTCAGAAGAGTTGGAACAAATTGAATTTGATATTACCTAGTTCTCCCAACCAATTCACCATTTATTTGAAGACAGTTGTTCAAATGATAAATGATTCTTCGGTAAAATCATCTCTACACTGACTGAATACTGCCCAACTCAGAAGCTATAGGGCAAGCTGTTGACATGAGCTAAGCAAGGCTTCTGTTGAATGGTAGACTTGAATTATGGCTTGAGCTAGAAGTGTGGATCAACATTTAGTGAGTTGAGGAAATTATAGTTTTTGGAAATGGATGAAAGAATTAAGTGTTGAAGACAAGGTTAGATGATGGGTGGTTTAATAGGCACATGTGTAAAGATATTGAGAGTTGGAGTGTGATTAATGCCAATTAGAATTGAGTCAGGAGTCAATGAGAATTTAAATTCTAAAGTTTGTTTAGCTTCAAGAACCATCCTTAAGCACTGAATGCAATTTTTCTATTTTATTTGTAATGTTTAAATGGCTTATTTGGCATTTCACTGTTACTTTGAGAGTTATAGCTAATTACCTATTAATTACAGGAGATTGAATTAAAAGTATTGCTCAACCTGAGTGTGTGCTCATCATCAGGCAAAAGAAATAGGCTATACCTGATAAATCAATATATATTTCAACTTAACTTGTTGAAAGTGTGGCCAGACTCTGCAGTGCCATAGATACATGCGAATTACCTCACCCCAAAGACCAAATGTGTGGAGAATATTTCTGCCCTGTGTAGGGGCTGTTTGAGTTTTTGTTGGTTTAGGCTAGACCCTTGATATTATTTAGCATGGTTTATTGTACATAATTAGATTCTAATTTCTGGAGAGAGACACATTTATTTCCAGCTCTGAATTGGTAATTCGAGTGAGGGTAGTTTTAAATCCAGCCTGAGTGTTATTCATGCTGTATACTAACACACTTTAGAGGTAATTGTTTCTACTGCTTTTTAGGACACAGCTTGATGAATAAAATAAATTTGGAAAAGGAGAGACACAAAATGTAGAAATATAGACCATTAAAAAACTTATAAACCCACAACAAATACTTTAATTACATTGGATGAATATAAATCATGAATGTCGAGCAGCTGGATGCTATGAAAATGTAAATGCAAACTAATCAGTGGAAGTAGAATAAAGCTGGTGGCAATATAAATCAAAACACCCATTGGGGGAGGGGACAGTCTTCAGGCAATTTTAACACAGCCAAATACTGGGGCATTCCAGCACATATATACACCTAAAGATAATAGCAAGATTTTGGATGGGCCATCAACCTTAACATGGCTCCTTGGATCCTCATACCCATAATAAGCTTCTTTGAAACAAGTACCTGATTTAATTTTTATGAAGCCACTAAGTCATCCTTGTTATTTTAATTATTTGACTGGAGCTAAAATTTTAAGCTTTTGTGAGCTTTTCTTGTGGCATTCATGACAACATGTGAGGTGAACAAAAGAAGGGACTGAAAGGTTCAGAATACAATGTTATTAGCTCACCTATGAGCTTTCTTGTGCATATGCTATAAAATAATAGGAATTCATCAATATTCTTGTTGGTCTTTGGAGTAATTTCCAATTATTCCAAACCCAGATGAAACTATCTCCTTAGCTTATTTATTTAAACCTTCACATTTGTACTATGAGTACAAAAGTCTGTTTTTCTACAACAACAAAACAAGACTTTCTTTCCTTTAGTACTGAGTGTAATGTATACAAGTAGCTAACCTGTAGGTTTCTTCCCTAAAGTATTTAGGAAAACATGTCTTTCTCTACATTTTTGTTTTAGTGGTTCCTAAAACTCACTGTACTTTAGATATTCCTGGGGGACTTTTTGAAATTACTATGGTTTGTGTCCTTCCACTAGAGATCCCATTTTAACTGACTTGTTGTAGGTTCTAATAATCAAAAATATTTTCTAAACTTTCCTGTGTGAATTCTTTTTAAATGTATGTGTGAATTTGTGTGTGGTGATGTGTCTGTACCTGTGTGCAGGCCAGAGAGCAACTTCAGGTTCCTTGAGAACTGAGAATTAGTTATTTGTTCTTTGAGACAGGACTTTTTTGGAACCTGAAGCTGTCCAATAACGTAAGGCTAGAGGGCTGACAAATCCAAGCAATCCTCTTCAATCTGTAATTATAAACAGGGTGCAACCACACCCAGCTTTTTACATGGTTCTGGGAATGGAACTCTGATCCTTGTGATTGCATGGCTTCAGTTGTCAACTGAGCTATCTTCCCAGTACGTTCTCTGTGTGATATTATTATTAACTGAATTGGTACAGAGTCTTCATATGAGCTTTCTTGTGCATATACCCATTGTGGCCTAGAACTCCTGGGCTCAAGAGTTCCTCCCTTTTAAGGTCTTAAGTGGTTAGAATTTTTGGCATGTCCTGCCTAACCTGGTTATTTGGACCTTATACTAATATGCACAAAAATTGTGAGAACTGGTCTATGTTCTCATTGATGCTTCATGGTAGAATCTTTCTTGTGAGAAGTACCTGACTGTAGAGCATTCTAGAAAAGAGAAACTTCATCTCCTTCTCATTTTATCATTCCCAGAATGGAAATCTCTCTTTCCAAGACCCAAGATTCAATCCTTAATCCTTATGATTTTGGCAAACAAATTTTAACTTTTCATTTTATTCAAATCATTACTTCTTTTCCTTCTTTTTTGGTATTCTCTTCAGTAGCTGTCACCTGAGCCTTAGATGCTTAAGTTGTCACAAATGAAGTTATCACAAAACACCTGTACAGTCCTGCAGCCATGATGTTCTTATAGGTCTTTTAAGCTACTTCATCAACACCAAAAGGATGTTAGATTTTCAGGATGCCTTTGACCCTCTCTCCCTTTTAGAGTGTTATTGCCAGGAAGAGGTTTTCTTCACAGCCAGGTAAATGCCTGTTAATTCCCTGAAATGTTGTAGTGGCCAGAGGTTTATTAGACTGAAAAACATTTATATTTATGTTAGATTTGTCTTTTTTTATTTTGAAGCTACCAGTTAGGTTATATAGATTATAAGCAGACATTTTCTCCATAGTTTCATGTAATGAAAGATAAAGAGGAACTTGCACTTTTCTACTATGAGGGTAAGAGTATGATGGTGATAAGTATGGTGGAAAGCCAGGGTATTTGTTTCAAATACAATGAAACTTTCCAAACATTGAATGTGCAGTAACTATTCCTATCAAAGAACATAAAGACATTGGTAAAGCATTGGAACAAAAACCTTAAGTTGACAATGACACTGAGAAATTAACTGGAAGAGATCTTAACAATTTTAGCAAATTTCTCATATGACCCACCAAACTCAAAGAAATGCAAGAAACCCATCATGGTCTTCTGAGTAGAGACCACATGGAACACTTGATAGGATTTTAAGTCATATCTCCCTGTTTCAATCTAAGTTGTTCAAACTTTAAATTTATCAAGAACTGTACTGAATGTTGAAGTGTCTTATGAAAAGATTTTGGAAGACTTTTGATGGGGAAGTGCTTCTGTGTATGTGTTTGTCTTACTGGATGATAAATAAAGGACTGTTTGGCCAATGAGGCAGCAAGTTAGGCAGGACTAGGATTTGAGGAGGATTCTGGGAAATGTAGTAAGAAGTGGTGATCCAAGCAGGAAGAGACATAGCAGGGAGACTCATATTTAAGGAAGGACAAGCAGGAAGTGGCCCCTTTCCCCCTCTCACTTCCTCCAGAGGTGCCATGTGATCCACCGGCAAGAGAGGGCACCAGCAGAAGGAATAATCTATAAGATAAGTCTTATAAAATATATAGGTTTATGATAATTAAGACTGAGCTAACAGATGAGACTCCTAGTCATTGGCCAAGCAGCGAATGTACATAATACAAGTCTCTGTGCATTAATTTGGGCCCTAACTCAGCAGGCAGAACTCAGGCGGCTGGTGGAGACTGCCTAGGTGGTGGTAGGGCTTGGGCGGCTTTTGGCGGAAAGATTTATCATAACAGACTTTCATCATTGAGTGATAAACAGCAACCAAGAAAATTAAAGAATCAGCCCCATTCAAAGAGCTACAGGAAACCCTGGGAATTCCTAGAACTATCGAATTTGATGGATCTTCTTGTTTTGGCATGTATTGTGCCTACATTCTGGGTTCTGATGCCTAAATGGTACTTTGGTACATCTGTCATGAAATCTATTGTGCTAAGATCTGTGGGCCTGTCACCCAATGGAGTAGATAGTTCCACCGACAATGTGTGAGGGATTGGGCATGTGAAAATTTGGTCTACAATCTGCAGGTTGCTCATGTCTGATTCACTGTAAAGGACTCTCTTGGTTATTAAACTTTTCCATTTCATGTTCAATAATTACACAACTAGACACTCCTAAGAATCTCCAAATTTCTAACTCATTTTTGATCAGCAAAACCAGACATGCCATCTGTATGCTGCTTGAGGAACATTTTAGGAAAACATTATTTATTAGTAAATATCACTAGGGATTTGATTTACTTGTTGGAAACATATTTTATATCATGACTTCACCTCTGTCTAATTGTCCTTAAAATTTTCAGTTTCTCTAGGATCAGATAATGGATGACAGAAGACGACCAAGTCTTGCCTATCCAGCAGTATTATGTGATGTCTTCAAAGGCAAAGGTTTTCTATTTTTCTCTCTTCTCCTTCCCTTCCCTTCTCTTCCCTTCCCCTTCCTTCTTTCCTTCCTTCCTCTTCCTTCCTTCTTTCCTTCCTTCCTCTTCCTTCCTCTCTTTGTTCTCTGTTTGTTTGTTTGTTTGTTTGTTTTGCAGTCTCATCCATACAAGATGAGCCTCAAACTTGCTATATGGCCAAATAAAATAGTTACCCTGTTTACTGGCTAGTTTTGTGTGTCAACTTGACATAAGAAAGAGTCATTAGAGGGAGGAACCTCAACGGTGGAAATTCCTCCATGAGATTCAGCAGTAAGGAATTTTCTTAATTAATGTTCAATGGGGTTGGGCCCAGCCCAAGGTGGGTGATGCCATCCCTGGGCTGCTGGCCCTGGGTTATATAAGAAGTTATGCAGAGCCAATCAGGAGAAGTAAGCCAGTAAGTATCTCTCCTCCATGGCCTTAGCATCATCTCCTGATGGGGGAAGTCATTTGTACATATGTCTTACATATTGGTTGATGAATAAAGAAAGATGCCCAAATTCCTAAATATTGTTTCTAATTTTTTTCATTTAATTGGGGTTGCTAATGAATGGTTAATGATCACAACCAATCTCTTTTTAAAATTAAAAGAGAGATTATGGTATAGAAATTAATACTTTGTATTGGAATGGATTTTCATTTCTTGATACAATTTAAGGTCAAATTTGCTCTATGTATATTTATCCTTTTATTTAGGTATTAAATGCCTACAGAATATGGCATTTAAAATGGTTTAGGGTTTTTCTTGACAGTGAGACACAACTGCTCCTGGCAATACACCAACTGTGTCAAAAGAGAAGATGAACATTGAAGAAACTCATCATGGAGTTTGCTTCCAATGTGGCAAGACTAGCCATTTGGGAAAGAAACTGCTCTTGTCTGGACTGTTTGACTTATTGTATGAACTGGACATGCAAGACCCACAAGGTTAAGAATGTGCATAGTGGCATCTGCTTGTTATCCCTGCATTCAGGAGGCTGAGGGAAAGTGACTGCTGAAACAAGGTGGACATTGCTACTGGGTTCCTGCTTCCTGGAAGACTCTTCCAGACATCCTACAGGACACAAAGAAAAGTGACTAACAAACTGCCAATACAGGCAGACAGTTTAAAATTTCCTGCATTACCGAGGAGTCTGCCAAACACCTTTTGGCTATGGGCCAAAGATGGAACATTACAAAAGAACTTCAGGTGACTGACCAGGCAGCAAGTTGTTTTTGTCAATTCTAGAGTTTATATATTATCCTTCTTTGGTCTTTGATGGAGTTGAAGACAGATAGTTATGGTTATAGTTTTCCTTAGTTATGATAAAAGATAAGTTATTTACAAAACTTTAGACTCACAAAGAGAGGATAGATAAAATATTTTCAATAATCTTACTAAATGTTATTGAACCAAATATTGTAATTATAGTTCTTGCTTAATAAGTATTTTGTTATATATAATTTGAAGATGTTAAAGTGAAAACTTTCTTTTTTTTAGACAGATAAGAGGACATGATGGGGGAAGTGTTCTGTACATAAGTTTCTCTTATTGGTTGATGAATAAAACACTGTTAGCAAATAAGGAAGCAAGGTAGGTGAGGCTAGGAGACAGGGAGTATTCTGGAAAGTGTAGTAAGAGAGAGGTTGCCATGTGATCCCAGGAGGAGAGGACACATGAGTCTGGTGTTCTTAGTAAAATAAGTCCATGTAGAAATACATATATTAGTAGATGTGGGTTAATACTTAAGACAGAGCTAACCTATAAGAAATCCTAGTCATCGGCCAACAGATTATAATTAATATAATGTATCGTGTGTTTCTTGAGGGCTCTGAGGCAGAGGAACCAGGCAGGAACACTGTAACAAATTCCTGTCTTTGGGATCCTGCCCTGTTTGAGTTCCTGTCCTGACTTCCTTCAATGATGAACAGCAATGCTGAAGTGGAAGACAAATAAGCCCTTTTCTCCCCAATTTGCTTTTTGGTCATGATGTTTCTTTGAAACAATAAAAACCCTAACTAAAATACCCGGATACCCCTGCCTATACCTCCTTAGTAGTGCTGAAATTACAGTTGTATACAAAAATACCTGGCTTATTATATGCTTTTATCAACTCAGGATTTGGTTGTTGCTAGACAATTTTATCAACTGAGCTACATTCCCAGTCCTTATGATTAATTTTATATGGTATGTTACTTAAGGTCTATCAATGGCAAATTTACACATGGAATCCATGTTTGTTATGTTGCGGATATCTCTCCATCTTGTGTAGTGCAGAAAAGGCATAATAAAAGTAACTCCTAGGCAATAGCAGGCTATGCCACATTAGAAGATCAGTATTAGATCACATGTGTGGCAGGGAAGATATTTGGCTAAATAATCCCTTTTGAGTGGGATCCTGTGCTATTTGACTAATGGAACCTCATATAGCTAAATTGTCAGTATTGAAGGGCTTATAGCAGAAACTGGCAGCAGAACCTAATTGAGTGAGTTTTCTGGCTACCAGGCTATTTAGTGCTATTCTGTAGGGGTGCAAAATCCTGAGCAGTGGAAGAGTGTCTCATTGTTAATAACTCATGTATCCAACTTTATAGTCTAGGCTTGTTGATCTGTCGATGTCAGCATTACACAGTAGCAAGAGAAAAATCTAGCCAAACTCTGTTCTAATCAAGATGATTGTCAGAGCCTTCTGACAGACATAATAGATGTTTTAATGTTCTATCTATTCTCAACTTTACTTGTCAGGTGGTCACACTGGCTTGTCACACTTGCCAGTTCTGAATGAATCCAGGTCCCCAATGAAATAGAACCTAGGATGCATAATGTTACTTGAATATTTTAGGTTCATACTATTGGCATGTTTCAACTGCGATATTCATTTACATTCTTCCTCTCTGCTTCTATTCACAGCATGAAGAATTCATTTCTAAAGATAATACATGGTGTGAAGATAACAAGATTCATTGTGGGGGTCAGAGAATTGCTGTGGTACAATGGAGCACATACATAATCTAATCAAGAGGATGATGGTGTACACATCAGTGTCCCAAGAGAGTCACTTGTGATCACTTCTGTAGAGAAGTCTGTCAGAACATAAGAAAGATAAGGAGAGCATTCAGGTTTGGGATAATGTGACATAGTCTGCTGAAAGTGCTCTGTCAATGGAAAAATCTTGTTATTATCAAACATATAATGCATTCATGTATATATACATGAATATATATATATATATATATATGTTAATGCTGTTATTGATCTGGTACTTTATTTTATTGCCTTCTGGAACAATTTTTCTTTATGTTACCTGAATTTTTCTGTCCTGCCTATCTATACATTATTCTCCCTATGCAATATTGCTAGCAACTACCTATTCCCAATGGTTTATGAACTACATATATATATACATATGTCATGCATTATATATTAGTCAAAGATTTATAACTGGATACAAATGATACACAGCTGCTAAGATTTAGTTTGGATGAATAGGTTCTTGTATGCTGGTATCTAGGATGGTAACTATAGATGATGATAATGTGGTACAGTTGTCCAAAAGCTAGAAGAAAGAGCATTGAATAACTTCGTATTAATAAGAAAATCAGGAGCAAGGCAAGGCTGTCCACTCTCTCCATACCTCTTCAATATTGTACTTGAAGTACTAGCTAGAGCAATTAGACAACAAAACAGATCAAGAGGATACAAATGGGAAAAGAATAAGTCAGACTTTCCCTATTTTCAGATGATATGATAGTTTACATAAGTGACCAAAAAACTCAACCAGGGAATGCCTACATCTGATAAACACCTTCAGCACAGTGGCAGGATATAAAATTAACTAGAAAAAAGTAGTTGCCCTATGGATGATAAAAGGGGTGAGAATGAAATCAAAGAAACATCACCATTTAAAATTGCCAAAAAATATATAAAATACTTTGGGGGTAACACTAACCAAACCAGTGAAAGGCCTGTATAGCAAAAACTATGAGTCTTTAAAGAAAGGAATTAAAGAAGATACCAGAAAATGGAAAGATCTCCCATGCTCTTGGATAGGTAGGATCAACATAGTAAAAATGGAGATCTTGCCAAAATAAATCTATAGATTTAATGCATTCCCCATCAAAATCCAGTACAATTCTTTACAGACCTTGAAAGAGCAATTCTGAACTTTATATGGAAAAACAAAAGACCCAGGATAGCCAAAACAACTCTGTACAATACAGGAACTTCTGAAGACATCATCATTCTTGACTTCAAGTTCTATTATAGAGACACAGTTCTGAAAACAGCTTGGTATATGCACAAAAATAGACAAGTAGACCAATGGAATTGAATTGAAAACCCTGATATTAATCCACACACCTATGAACATCTGATTTTTGACAAAGAAGTTAAAGTTATACAGTGGAATAAAGAAAGCATCTTCAACATATAGTGCCGGCATAACTTGATGCTGACATGTAGAAGATTGCAGATAGATAGATCTATATCTATCACCTCGTACAAAACCTAAGTCCAAATGGTTCAAAGATTTCAACATAAATCCAGTCACACTGGATTTCTCTTAGAAGAGAAATTGGTACAGGAGACCACTTCCTGAATATAGCATCAATAGCACAGATACTGAGATCGACAATTAATAAATGGGGCCTCCTGAATCTGAGAATCTTCTGTAAGGAAAAGGATGTAGGCAACAAGACAAAATGGCAGCCCACAGAATGGGAAAAGATATTCACCAACACCACATCTGACAGAGGGCTGATTTCCAAAATATAAAAAGAACTCAAGAAGCTAGCCACCAAAACACTAACTAATCCAATTAAAAGGTAGGGTACAGAACTAAATAGAGAATTCTCAATGGAGGAATCTAAAATGGCTGAAAGACACCTAAGAAAGTGCTCTTTGAATTTCTGATAGAATTCTTCACTGAAGCCATCTGGTCCTGGGCTTTTTTTGGGGGGGTGGGGTTGGGAAACTTTTGATGACTTCTTCTATTTCATTAGGGGTCTATTTAAATTGCTTATCTGTTCTTGATTCAATTTTGGTAATTGAAATCTATCCAGAAAATGATCCATTTCCTTTAGATTTTCAAATTTTGAAGAATACAGGTTTTCAAAGCATGACCTGATGATTCTCTGGATTTCCTCAGTGTATGTGGTTATGTCCCCCTTTTCTTTTCTTTTTTTTTTAATTTTAATTTAATTTTATTAGTTCAAATTAGGAACAAGCTTGCTTCAGATGTCAACCCCTTCCCCCCCCCCTCCCCCCCAACACCCCCCCTGCCATTCCCCCTCCACTCCCCAGGCAGGGTAAGGCCCTCAAAAGGGCCTCCCCAAAGTCTACCACATCATCCTGGGCCAGGGCTAGGCCCTTCCTCATGTGTCCAGGTCAAGAGAACATCCCTTCATATGGGATGGGCTCTCAGAATCCCTTCTTTTTTTTTAAGACCTTACATATTTAATATAGTGTGTTACCCCTGTACAAATGGAAAAAAATTAAGTTCAACATTTCTAGAACAATATGGCTGTTAATTTTTGTACAATGCCAACTGAACGCGATAAACTGGGATACTTTTTTCCAAAGTTGACAGCACAGCTAAAGTTTCCAAAAATTCAAATTATATATGTACATTATATTTATATTTATATTTATATAAAAAGACCAATAATAGCAGTATGTTATGCATCAATAGCAGCAACAGCTTTTCCAGGTTCTGCAGTCATTTAAACAAAATTGTAAAGACATCCAGTACTCTCCATTTAAAAAAAAAAATTAAAAAACAAAATCCCAGAAAAACACCACAGTTCTGTTACCCTTGTGGTACCTGGCACCATTTTTTTTTTAATTAGCTTCTCAATCATAATCTGGAGGGAAACCATTCTGAGCAACATCACTAAAAACAGCTCTGATAAAGCACGGTTACTAATATGTATCATAAAGCAGGTCACTTATGAGTGAGGACATATCATGTTTGTCTTTTTGTGATTGGGTTACCTCGCTCAGAATGGTTTCTTCTAGTTTCATCCATTTGCCTGTGAGTTTCAAGATTCCATTGTTTTTTTCTGCTGAGTAGTACTCCATTGTGTAAATGTACCACATTTTCTGTATTCATTCTTCATTTGAGGGGCATCTAGGCTGCTTCCAGTTTCTGGCTATTACAAATAATGCTGCTATGAACATGGTTGAACATATGTCCTTGTTATATGAATGTGCTTCTTTTGGGTATATGCCTAGGAGTGGAATTGCTAGAACTTGTGATAGACTCATTCCCATTTTCTTGTGGAGTCACCATACTGCTTTCCAAAGTGGCTGTACAAGTTGGCACTCCCATCAGCAGTGGAGGAGTATCCCCCTTTTCATTCCTTACTCTATTAATTTACATGTTCACTCTGTCCTTTGGTAAGTTTGGATAAAGGTTTGTTTATCTTGTTGATTTTCTGGAAGAACCAATTCTTCAGTACATTGATTCTTTGTATTGTTTTCCTAGTTTCTACTTATTGATTTCAGCCCTCAATTTGATTATTTCCTGACGTCTACTACTCCAGGGTGCATTGGCTTATTTGTGTTCCAGAGCTTTCAGTTTTGTTGTTAATTCTCTAGTGTGACTATTCTCCAGTTTCTTCATGTTGGCTCTTAGTTCTGTGAACTTTCCTCTTAGACCTGTTTTCAAAGTGTACCATAAGTTTAGCTATGTTGTGTCCTCATTATCACTGAATTCTAGGAAATCTTAAATTTCTTTTTTTTTTTTTTTATTTCTTCCTTGACCCAGGGATGGTGCAATTGGGTATTATTCAGTCTCCATATGTTTGTAAGTTTTCTGAAATTTGTTTTAATTCTAACTTTCACCATCCTGTGTGAGGTAACCCACTTGCAAAAAGACAAAAATGGTATGTACTCCCTCATATATGGATTTTATATCTAGAGCAGAAGTAGCAGCCTACAATCCACACTGCCAGAGAAGCTAGGAAACAAGGAAGAGCCTAAGAAAGACACACATTGTCCCCCTGAGAAGGGGAAAGGGACAAGATTTCCTAAGCTAATGGGGATCATGGGGGGAGGAGAGAGGGAGTTAGAAGAAAGAGAGAAGAGGAGGGGAGAGGAGCACATGAGGGAATAGGAAGATCTAGTCAGAGGAAGAATAGAGGAGAGCAAGAAAAGAGATACCATCATAGAGGGATCCATTATAGGTTTAAAGAGAGTTCTGGCACTAGGGAAATGTCCAGAGATCTATGAGTATGATAACAACAATCTAAGCAATAGTTGAGAAGCTACCTTAAACGCCCTTCTCCCATAATAAGATTGATGACTACCTTATATGCCATCCTAGAGCCTTCATCCAGTAGTTGATAGAAGCAGAAGAAGACACCCACAGCTAAAGACTGAGCTGAACCCTGAAATTCAAATGCATAGAGGAAGGAATGATGAGAAAAGGGGTCAAGACCACGCTGGAGAAACCCACAGAAACAGCTGACCTGAACAAGGGAGAGCTCATGGACCCTAGACTGATAGCTGGGAAACCAGTATAGTGTCCCTCGCGATCGTCTCGCCAGCAAGAATGACACAGGACACTCGGATCCTTCTGCAGTAAAGCTTTAATGCATCTTGAGAGAGAGAGAGCATAAGCTTACAGGGCGGAGACCCTGAACTCCCAAAAACCCATCCCTTATATAGGCTGGCAACCGCCGCCTCGGACGCGTCACCCCATGATTGGCTGCAGCTCATCGGACCATATGACGCTACGGGAGAGGCAGAGACCAAGGGATGGAAAGTTACCCAGCGCCTGCGCACTAACTTGTTTACATTCGGTGCTGCTCAAGCCAGACACTCTACCCTGTGCAATGAGCCTAGGCTCCGGGTGTGCAAGAGCTGTCTGGCCGGCGGCCTATTGCTTAAGCATTGTTAACCAAATGTCAGTGGAAGCCCCTTGTTCCAAAGCTACAAGCGCTTGGGCGATAACCACCTTGTCTCTCTTAGTTTGAGCCCTGAGCCTACAGAC